AAAGAAGGATAGTCCAGGCTCCAAGGATGTCTGGAGAAATGAGGAAAGGCTCTTGTGGAGACACACAGGGGAGTTAACAAGATGCTCCTCGATGGGGATGTGACTTTGGGAACAGCCATGGGACTGCAGTGAGATGACCAGCGAGAGGAGAAAATTAGTCCTATCCTGACAAGGTCTCTGCAGAGCCCACGGTCTTATTGTAGCAGACGCACTGTGACCACAGGAGGGACTGTCCCTGTCTAAATAGCTCCCAGGTCAGATGAGCCATCTCCCCGTCACCCACAAGAGAGCTGGTGCCCCGGGACGTAGAGTGACTCACTAAAGCCACCAGGGCGACCGCAGTGGCATTCGGAGCAGAGCCTGCTGCCCTTTTCCATCTCTCCAGGCTGCAGATGTGCAAGTGCTCCCTCGGCAGACGATGCTGCAGGCGCCAGCCCAGCCAGCTGCATGGCAGCCATCCCCCAGCTGCCCCCGCCGCAGAAACGCGGGGTACCGGGACCTGGGGAGGAAGCAGCAGGAGGAAGATGGGAGCTCATCCATAGCATTTGGACTGTGGTGATAAAAGAGGCGCTTTGCCAAAGGGCACCACTGAGCAGCCCGGGGCAGCCACTTCTCCAGGTCCATCAGGTTCAGTGAGAGGGTAACGCTGTGGCCTGAGACAGGGCCTCATCGTGTTGTTTCCAGAACAGCATCATGATGCTCCCAGGTTACCCTCACGAGCAGCCCTGTAGCTCATGCAGTGAGCTGGACCATGTGTGGGCTGAAGGAATATGTGTCCAAGGGATGTCAGTAGTGAAAAGAAAAGAAAACAGTGGCATGAAGATGGCACGGAAAGGGTGGAGGGAAATGCCAGTGATGACAAACTCATGAAATAAGGGATAACACCCTCACCCCCACCACCTCCAGGCTCAAAGCTGCCCTCTAAGGAATGGTAGTCTCATTTTTCAGAGCAGCATCTTCACGCCTCCTCCCTTCCCCTGAGAATCCGGAGGCATTCCTCGCCAGCGGGGACCCTCCCCATGCCCTCGCAGACACGGCCACATCTGGAATGCAGCCGAGCCGGCCTCCCCTGGCATGGATGTCCTTGATGCCTGCAGTGGATGGGCTGGATTCAGGTCCCCCACACCCCGGGGAACCTGCTCCCTCCAGGTTTCAAGTCCTTCTTCCCTCTTTCCGCCTGGGGAGAGCAGGTTCCTGCTGGACCAGGCTACCAGGCTCCTGTTAGAAACAGGGAAGCCAGGGAGCTACATCTTTGTGGACACGGCACCTTGGTGTCTGCAGGAGCTTCCTGGCTCCTGGAGACCTTCCTGAGAAAGTCCTGCTGGAGAAGGGCAGCAGCAGGAGCCTCCAAGAGGAGCTGACTCCCCCATTTGTGTCGTCCCTTCGCTTGACAACCTGCCTGCAAACAGCTCGCCCTGGCCAGACCCGCCGCGAGGACGATCTGCATCCGCATTTGGGTAAATAAACTGCCGGGCGTGCGAGCTGCGGTATGCCAGGAATCACGTAAAACCTTCCTGAGCAATCGCCTGCAGTTTATGGGAAGCAGGAGGGGGTGGGGAGGAAAGCCAGGTTCTGGGCCTGCTCTCAGCATTGCTCAGGCTCTTCCCTGCTTTTGCCGACCAGGAACAGAGCTGAGGTCCCATCGTGCAAGGAGCCAGGAGCTGCTGGGGTAGCCTCCAGCCAGCACTGGAATGAAGACATGGAGCTCACCGGGGAGACCAGCTGTCAGAGCACCCGAGTGGAGACGTAGCCGATTGTGATCAGCTACAAGTGGACGCCGGGCAGTGGCTTGGTGCTCTCCGGTGCTTCCCACGCGTGCCTCCTTGGCCCAGGGATGCTGCAGCCCATAGAGGCCAACGGAAGGCAGAATAAGGGCTACTGTCTCTCTGCTCGGCTAGGAACGGAGAAGAGGCGGCTGCCAGGCTTCCTCCTCCTCCCTCGAGGGATTCAGTGCGGGCTTTGTGCACCCCAAAGGGGTTGTCACCCTCCATCCCATCAGTGACACCACATTGGGTGACCTGTCTCCCCCAGATCTGTTTTCAAAGGCGTTTGGATGTCATCTTGTCACATTTCCATGACCGGACATGTCTCCACCTTGCCCAAATCAGACCCCTCTAATGGAGCCCATGACAGGAGAGGAAGCAACATTCCTGTAGGTCCAGGCTGGGCACCTGGGTCTCTGCATTGCTGGCCTATGTGCAGAAGCCCTGCCATGAGGTCCTTTCCCAAAACTTAAAAACAGAGTATTTAGATGAATATTGGGACCTTATTTCCCTGCTTGCCAAAAACATATATATATATAGTAGAAGTCATGGCCCAAAGATGGGTCCCATCCAGGAGTTTCTCTATGGATTTGGAAATCTGTCCTGAAGATCCAGGACCCCTTAACTTTTCAGCTACTCTCCTTCCAGCCTCCCTGCCACTGCTACCACGTGGTCTTAGATAGGAACAGCCAAGGCTTCTCACTGCTGCTTCTTTTGCAGGAGCCACAGGTGCCTAGTAAGAGCAAACCAGTAAGAGATGCTCATGGAATTGCTGCACATCACACCCCATTGGAGATAAGTTCCTGAATTGGGTCGAAAAATGTATGGAAAGGATCATCAGCATCACCATTCCGCAGTACTACGCTGGGACCGGTGGTGCTCAGCATATTCATAAGTCATCTTCCAGCAGGATGAGAGTCAGCAGCCAAGCTTGTTTCTTATGCAGTGATCTGCATAGTCAGAGCTAAAGCCGCCTGCAGAATTGCACAAGACCCTGGTCCCCAGGGATGGCATGATAAAACCGCAGGGGAAATGAGCTGTCAGTAAATGCAAAGTAATGTGCAAAAGGGAAAGCCCCAACCCAACTGTCTGTGCATGCACTGATACGTCGGAGAGGCTCCTAGCACCCAAGCAACAGATTGAAGAGACCCCATGAAAGCTCCCTTGGAAGCGTCATCTCAGTGAGATGGGCAAGACTGGGGAGCATTATTATGTTGCTATATAAATCCCGAAGCAACCCCAGCTTGACTATCAATCAGGAGCTTTTCTGGTCTCCCCCCACCTCCAAAGAGCCAAGTAGCATGAAGAAGGCTTGGAATTGGCTGATGAAGGTGCCTCACTGCTGGTACCTTGCAGCGTTGGATTGGGAAGCTCTTCCCTCTTCAGGGTTACCATTGCCCACTTCCATCTGCCAATGCCACCGAATTCTCCTACCACCACCACCTCTCCGGAGGCCTTGACCAGCCACCACCATCTGACCACTTGGCCAGACTGTACCTGGGAGCAGGTATTTGCCTGCAAGAGCTTCACGGCACACTAGGAGCAACCAAGCAGAGAAAAGCCCAAGCCTGCACCCACAGACACGGAGCAGGTCTCTTCCCTCCTCACACCCATTGCCAGGGTCCCTAAACCACAGGACACCACCCCTGTCCCATGGGCCAAGCCCCTGCCTGGCCCTGTCTCACTTGCTTTTGCCATGTCGCGTGGTAAAAGAGCACCTTTGGGTCGATATTTGTACTTTTTTTATTAAAATACTGTTATACCAAGTGGAATGCTACAGCAATCTCGGTATAGGGCGGCGTAACGAAACAGCCAGGTTTATGTTTAAATACTTAAGATAACTTAAAATGCACAAACAAGAACTCATTGTCTTTGGCAGAAAAAAAAAGTTCACAGCACGAAAAAATACTTAAAAAGAAATAACCAATATTAATATAAAATATATTAAGTTGTGTTTTTTTCCTCTTTCATATTTTTTTTTGTTTTCCACTTTGTAAACAATGCACGAGAACCGAACACATTTTTTACGTGTCTGGGAGAGAAAATAAAAAATGCAGTTGCCCAGCAAATGCATAGGTGTTTAAAGAAGAAAGAAAACAAAAATATACATGAGGGCCAAGGCTGGAAAGCACCCGAGTTCAGAGGAGTGAGAAACTCTCACTAAAATCAATGTTGGCTACTGCCAGAAACCAGCTGCCAGTAGACAAGGGAGGTATGAGGATTCCCAGTGAGAAGAGACCAAGGCAAAGCTCGGAGCAGAGCCAGAAAAGGGTCACAACGTCCCACCCCAGCGAAATCAGACATGCTTGTTTCTCTTCAAGAGTGTTTCACCTTCTTCTCCTTAGACTTCTCCTCCACCTTCCATTCTCTTCTTTTTGCACAAGCGTCATCCCATCCCCTCCCTTTATAAGGAAAATCCTGGCGATTGACACATACCTAGAACTCTTTTGAAAGCTCCTTTCCAAATCCCTCTCCCTCCCGCAGCTGCGCCCAAAGGTACCGTGCCGGCAAATAAAGGTTTTGCCTCCTGGCCCCAGGACCACTCGACTTGGCCACGTGGAGTTGGATAGGGCTCAGTCGATGGGGAGCAGCTGGAGATCCCTCCGGGCTCTGCCCCTACGAAGAGCAGCTCAGAAGCAGAGACGTATCCGTACTCGCACACAGATATTTGGCTCACGGCTACTGTTCAGACAGAAGGGAAATTCCAGTCGGAGGAACCACAGGAAAGCACCTTGAAGGACACGTAAGGCAGAGATACAGAGACAGGATCCGGGCTGGAGAACATGAAGGGCCTGACAAGCGAGGGGGAAGGAGAGACACCCCAGGGTCAGCAAAGGAGAAGGGGGGAAGGGAAAGGAACTGAAATGATAAATACGTTTGCGGTATCCTGTTCTACAAAACACGGATGTATATACAAGGGGGATCACGTCTCCTGGGCTGCAAGCCCCTCGTCACTGTACAGCTTCCGCACGCCAACACCTCCAGGATCCGGAGCGCTCCAGAGCGCCCCTTGTCCTGTGCAGCCCCGCAGGACATGCCCGTGGCCACGACGGGATGCCGAGGGGTGACGTCCCAGCAGCAAGCCCCGCTCCCCAGCCCTGGCGGTGCAAATCCGCGGCGCCAGGGGATGTTGCTGGGGTCTTCTCCAAACCAGTCCACCCACAAAAGATGCTGCTGTCGTCCCGGTCAGCACGCTGACCACAGCAGGATGTGTGGAGGGCCGGGGCACAGCCTGCTCCCCGCAGACTGTGACATCCTCCCTGCGAAGCCTTCTTCCCTCAAACTCCGCCATCCAGGAATTTGCTGCTATGGAGAACAAGTCCCGTCCGGGCAGCTTGTGACCAAAGGGCTTCTCTGACCACACAACAGTCTGTGAGTTGGGAGAGGATGACACGTCTGCCCTGGGTGGCCAGAACTGCCCGTCTTTAAATCAAGATCTCCACCATGTCAGACAGGTCAAGGGCTCTGGTAGCAGCCAAGTTCTCTGTGAAGAAACAAAGTGAAAACCATGAGAACCCTGGAGGAGCAAAGAGCTTCACAGAAGTTGTACCTAAAACAGCGGCAGGTGATTTTGAGAGCTCTGCACTTTGGCAGAGGAAAACCCAGCCTTGCTCCCCTCCCTAACCTTTTCCCTTGCGCTTTTCCATGCTCCTTCCCAGCCAGCGACTCCACTCAGCCCCTCCAGCGCCAGCCGCGTGGCACCCACGGTACCTCCCACAGCCGTGTGAGGGCAAGCCCTGGTGGCTGGCACAGAGGAACCAGTTCCTTGCTCACGGCTCGGCTATGCAAGATGTGCGGAGCAGAGCCGGGGAACGGCCCCAGGTTTCCTCTGTGCCCAGCCCCACCGGGGCCTGGACGGGCGTTTCGGGTGGCAGGAGGGAAGCAGGACTTACCCAGCGAGCTGGCTGGGCACTTGGGCCCCTCGCCCTGGCCGCTGCTCTCAGCCAGGCTGTCCGTCTGCGTGCTGCCGTCCTTGCTGCCGTGCTTGGAGTGAAAGGGCAGGAGGGCAGGGGCGGGCAGCGCTGCTGCTTCTTCCGCTGGGGCTTTGCCTGCTGGAGGAAGGCAGAGGAGATGCTGTTGGAGCTTAGACGCTCAGCTCTGTCAGGGACCTGAGCGTTTTGTGACAAGTCCCCCAGACGTGTCCCCCAGTTACGCAGCTTGGTGGACAAATGCCACATCCTCTAAGAAACACCCCAAGTCTCTTGAATGCCAGAGAGTTACTCCCAAATGTCCAGAGAGCAAGGGGGACTTCCAGACAACTCTTTACCTCAAAGCAGAGGCAAGGAGCACGCGGGAACCTCCATTTACCTGCACATCCACGGGAGGTGCCCTCTGCCAGCCGCTCGCTCGGGCCAGCACCCTGCCAGCTCTGGCTCCCAGAGGCTGCAAAGATGGATGGCACAGACTTGGCCGGCCGCAGGGAGCCTTGGAGGGCTTTGCTGGGGTCCTTCCGCGAGCGCTGCTGCAGCACTTTGATGATGGCATCCTTCTCCAGGATTTGGGCGTGCAGGGCTTTTAACCTGGAGAGGTGAAGGGGTAGAAGTTGAGAGAGGGCGAGGAAAGGATGATAAAGCCTCCGTTGGACAAAGCACAGCTGGTCTGGCCACTGGTAGCCACGGAGAAGCCCCGCGGGAAATGCTCAGGGATGGTGCTGCCCAGCTGGACGAAAGAGCAGCGTGTTGCTGCTCTACACCCGCTGAGGTGGCACTACCTGCTCTCCATCTCCTGGTGCTTGTGGTTGGCCAAGAGGAGGTCCTCGTTGAAGCTGCTGTTGGGAGAGTGCTGGAGCGTGGTGGCCGTCTGGGCGGCCGCGGTGGCCGCAGCGTCCATGGCAAACTGCCGCATGGTGCACTCCTCTAGGTACTTCTGCTCCCACTTGGTCATGTCGGCCTCCAGGGCGAGAATCTTCTCCTCCTTCTCCCTCAGCTGCTCGGAGAGCGTGTGGGCGCTCAGCTCCGAGGCTCCCGCACCTGGGGCGCCTGCCTGCCTCTGCAGGAGCAAAGAAAAGCCCCGGAGAGGGTGAGCGGGGCCAGGAGGAGACACTGCCTGATGCCCGATGCCTCCCTGGCCCCCAGTGTGCGTCCTCACCCGCGGACCCCTCACCTGCTGAGCCCGCAGCATCTTCAGCTCCTGCTCCAGGCGAGTGCGGAGCCGCAGCTCCAGCTGCTCCCGCTTCTCGCAGGCGGCCTGGAGCTGGCCCAGCGCTGCCTGCAGCCTCTCCACCTTCTCCACGTACGCCCGCTTCTTGCGCAGCTCGGCCTCCGCCTTGGCGGCGCGGGCCTGGGCGCTGCCCAGCGCCTGCTCCAACAGCTCTGCCCGGCGCCGCTGGTCCTCGTTAGCGCTGCGCAGCAGGGACACTTCCCGCTCCAGCTTCTCCTTCTCCTGCTGGTGCTCGTAGCCTGCAAAAGGCAACATTCATGTCAACCACGGCCCCAGCGCAGAGCTCTCCTGGGCTCCTGCCCTGGCAGCCCGAAGGCTGACAGAGTTCCCTGCCCACTGCATTGCAGCACAGGGAGCAGGGCACGCAAGGCAGCAAGCTCCAAGGGCTTCTCTCCTCCTCTCCTCCCCACGCATTCACAAGGCATTTTGCTCCCATAACTTTGCTCCTGTGGCCCAGCCTGCCTGCTCCATGTGGCCATCCCTCCCTCAGCAGACAAGCCGGGTCAGAGCTAGAGATCTACCCAGGAGCATGGAGACCCACAACAGAAAGTGCCCAGGCCTGGCATTGTTGAGCCTAACCTCGGACTCAGGCCTGGTGTACACGAGGGGAAAAAGCTGTCCTGGTGGCATCTAGCCACCTTAGGGAAGGGAATGCCCACTAACGTCCAGTCTTTCCACTGAAAAACATGCCTGAGGTGGCCTCCAGACTAAAGCAACCAGTGGGAACAGCCAGGAGAGGCTATCAGATGTGCTCCCAACCTCTGGCAAAAACAAAGAGATGAATCTAGATATATTTTTCCCCTTAAAAGCCCAACCCCATGTAGTGGCAAGGTGTAAGGCAAGGGAATTACAGGAGGGCTGGGCTACAGAGGGGAGGGAGTGCGGACTTTGAGCTGGAAGAGCCAGAGCAGTGGCTGGAATGTGGAGAATGCAGGTCACACCACCAGGCCGGGATTAATGGCCCGCGTCCAGTGCCAAGAACAGCTTAATTCTCCCTAGGGAATGGCAAAAGCTTCCACTCAGGATCCGCCTCCTCCTCCAGCTTAAAGGGACTATACCTTGTCCCACTGGCATGGGCCCATGAGACAGGGATCAGGAGGTGAGTGGGCAACTCTGTCCCTGCACTGCACCAGCATTGAGCGGTCTGGTGGGGACTTACTTTGCGCAAGGAGTTTCGTCACAGTGCCTTGATTATTCTCCTGGTTTTCCTGGGTCTTGCTGGCCAGCTGTTTGTTTGCAGACTCCAGCCGTTCTGGTCCAAAAGCAATTAAAAACGATTACATTCAAATATCATTTCAATGGAATTAACTGGGAGCAGCCTGGCTCCCAGTGAAAATACCCACCCTAATAAAACTAGCTCAAAATAGATGTGCTGGGAAAAGGCCAAGGGCACCCACTGGGATGGAGGAGCAGAGAAGTGCTGCCAGCTAGATGGAAGCACCAAACCATCCTGGCCGAGGGCTCGCATGGACGAGAGGGATGGGGTGACCTGGCAACATGCACCCACTATCACTGGGAAAGGACTGACCTCCTGGAGAAGGGCAGGCATTTGTCTGGCACGTGGAGAGAGCTCCACCACCCCAGTCCAGATCACAGGCCAATTATAATTGTCATCCTCGCTCACTCTGAACAGCAGAGTTGAGAGATGCTCCCTTCCCAGTGCTGCCTGCAGCCCCTCACCTTTCAGGTCCCGGTTGAAGTCCTGGAGCCGACGCATCTCCCCATCTCTCTTACTCCTCATGGCTTTCTCCAGTGCTTCCCGCTTGGAAGAGGCCTTCATGAGGTTTTCATAATCCTCCGAAATGCGCTGAATCTCTGTTTCCAGCTGAGGGAGGAGGAAATGACAGGCTGAGGTTAGATATTCTTGGAATGAGGAAAAGAAAGGGAGATGTTGGCTAAAGATCGCCCAGATTTCTCAACTTGACCTGAGCTGCCAAAGGAGCATTGAGAATCCACAGGACCCTAGAGGTCAGTAATTTTGTCTTTCGCCTCCACCAACCCAAGCTCTCATCTCACACCTGAAACCAGCCCCTGGCCCACAGCAGGGACAGGGACAGCAGGAACTTTGCAGGTCATGACAGAGATGCAGAGCAGCAGAAAGCCAGTGAGTGCAAGGAAAAACCTGCCTGCACTTGCCTGGCCCAAGCTTTGCCCATAATTATTGCATGCATGTCAATAAAACACCTCCAAACCCTTTCCCTTCACCTCATGCGAACCTGAGCTGGCAGAACCATCTCCAGATCATTTCACAGCTTCCAAAACTCACTCATCTTCCCTTGCCCCTCTGTTTGGGACCTGCCTTTTTTCTTCAACCACATTGTGGTGCTTGGAGAATTGGGGCTTGGCTTGAGCCAGGGTTTGCTCCATCCCTGCACCATCAACTCCCCGGGAGGACACTCCAAGGGTAGCTCTAGCTGGAGCGCTTATCTGCCCACAGTAGTTGTGGGTCCAAGAGGCCTCCCAGGCCACAGCTCAGCGGTGGGACGCCAAGGTGGCGTTTGCTCATGGAGAACCATAGAGCTTGTGGTGGCGGCAGAGCGCACGCTCGAGCCGGACCAGCTCGACCGGTACGGGTGCATTTTTGCCCAAATAACTGCACTTATCCAAGAGGCTCCCAGCAGCGGAGATCAGAGCCCTCCGCGCCCCAACCAGGCCTGCTGGAAAGTCCTGCCTCAGCCCAAGCGCGCTGCCACTCGCGCCTTCTCCCTCGCCGTGCACGAGCCCACCGCGCGCCTCTTTTTTGCTCGGGCTGCCGGGCCCTGGCGGTGCCCCCGGCCCGGGGCTGGCGCATGCCGCGGCCTCCACGGCACAGCCTCCCTCCTCGCCAGGAGGCCTCCAATGGCCCGTTTGTTCTGCGCCGCCGGCGGGGAACAGGCCTCCCCTTGTGTGCCGCTGCACAAAGGGCTTTCTGTGGCGGCCGGGCGCACACCCGGCGCAGGAGGGATGGCCAGAAAGAGAGAGACACAGAGAGAGACAGAGAGGGCCCAACTGTTACCGGAGACAGAGAACGGGCTCTTTTTCCCCCCACAACGCACAGCAGCTCAGGCGAGGACCTGTTGTGTGCCGTTGAAGCACAGCTGTTTGGAGGGGTAGTGTTGAGGGGTAAAAAACAGTCACTGGACAGAAGGGGAAGAGATTTAAGCCCCAAAAGGGGGGGAATTTTCACAACAGCTGTTTGATCCTCCTCCAGCCAAGCGCGCGAGAAACCCAGGGACAAAGCCAGGGCCTGGGCATGCACGTGCCACAACGCGGGCCCAGCAAGGCCTCCACAGAAGCCCTTGTGGTGGGGATGATCAGCCATGAGTTCGCGGCGGGTTGGGTGCGAGCTCCCATGGCCTCACTTCCCTCCTCCAAGAGCGATGAGCCTCGACGGAAAAGGCCAGGGTGAAAAGCAGGATGCTCCTGGCCCCGCAGGTTGGGGAAACGCCAGCTATGTCAAGGCAGCACATGGCCACAAGCTTCACATACAATGTATGTGCACCACAAGGGCTTAAGTGCCCTTCAGAAAATGTCCCTTTGAGGGCCACCAGCTTTTCCAGGGAGCTCCTTGACCAGCATGGGCCAAGTTTCCCCTGAACCACCACCAAAACCAGGCCAGGTCACCTCAGCTTGATCCCCAATGCCAAAGCGCCTTGGGCTCCTCTCAGAGCCTCCCCAGACGGTAGGCGAGATGCAACATCAACGTGCGGCCTTCCCTGCCCACGGGGCACTCCAAGCCGGCCCGCGGGCACCGCGATGGGCTCCTACGCCAGTCTACAGCCCCCGCCATCGCAGCTCGTGTACCTTCTGGATCCGGCTTGCTTTCTCGGCGTAGCCCTCCAGCTCCCGCCGGAGCTTCTCGCTCTCCCGCTGCAGCTTCTCGTTCTCCCGCAGCAGCTTCTCGTTGTCTCTCAGCACGGTCTCCGCGTGGGCCAAGCGGGTGCTGGCAGAGGCCACCTGGGCTGTCATCAAGGCCTCCATCCCAGCCGGGCTGAGCGAGCCCAGCGGGCTGTGGCACAGGGGACTCTGCTGCGGCAGGAAAGCCGGAGAGACGTGGGGCGGCATCACCCTGAGGAGAGGAAGGGGTAGGGGCGCTCAGAGGCCTCGCAGAGCTGACACATGTCGGGCAGCCCAGAGCACGGCCAGGCTCCTCACTGCTCTTAGGAGCCCGTTACAAGCCCCTTCACGGGACCCCCGTGTCATCAACCTCCAGCTGACCCATGTGGAAGAGCAAAGCAACAGGCAGCCCCTGCAACCCCTGTAGGCCACGCTATGCCTTGCCAGGGAGGCAGGCACTGGTCTGTGCTGACACATCTGAGGACATAGCAGGCCTCTTCAGACAGTACCTGGCTCAGCTCAAAGGAGGGGAGGCTCTCAGGGGTTTCTCCCGTGTTTTCCAGGCAGAGCTGGGAAGCCTCTGCTTTGTAACGGGAGGCCAGGGATGCACCTTGCCCTAACATCTTGAGCTATGGGTGCCCAGAACATTTCCAAACCTGGGATTTTTCAGTGTCTGGGTCACTCCAAAACCTAAGGATGTCCACCCTAGGTCAGGATGGACTCCCAGACCCACCCCACTGCTGGGAGCACCAGTAACAGAGGCATCAGGGGAAAATTCAGCTTCCTGGCCTTCTCCTGGGGGGCCAGGGCAAGGCTGCAGGCTCCTGAGGTGGCTCTTTACTAAAAGAGCTCACCGAGAGATTATTAATACCCCCTTCTTCTATCTCCAAGGCGGCCGGGCTCTCCCGCCACCCTCCCCGCCAGAGCAACTGCTCCGAGTTCCTCGACATCCCAGCGGCAGCCTGGAATGCCCAGAATGCCGCGCGGGCGCCCTGCCGGAGCCGAGGCAGCACGGGACCCACGGCTGCCCGCCAAGGGCCCGCATTCTTGCGGGATGATATAGGACCGGGAAAGAATAACCGCGTCGCCCCTGCAGCCTCCCCTTCCCCTCTTTGTTCCCGCGTGAGGAGAAATGTTTCCTGCCGGAGACACGGCCCGCAACTCCAGCCGGCAGAACAGGAGGCCTCCGTCAGCTTGCCGGAGGCTCCCCCAGGGCACGGAGAGCAAGTGAATCCAGTGCTAATCCGTCTCCCTCGGACGGCATGCCGGCTCATTTTGCCAGGGTTATTTGCTCTGTCACCAGCCCACAAGCTCCCCCCAGTTTGGGACTACAAGACTGGGTTTCCACAGATTGGTGAGAGCATTTTCCTTCCACCCTGGCCCATGCCTGTTCCAAATTTAGCCATTTCCTGGTCTGGTTCCAGCTTCTAAATTAACCCAAAATTCCATGCAGAGCATTAGGAGGGGGAAGGGTCTGTGGAGGCCATGGCATTTTCATTGCCAACTGGAAAAATTTACCTCCAGTTTGGCTACACCAGGGAAAAAGTGTGGCCTTGGTGCTTCAATGGGGAGCTGAGAGGACTGGTGCACTCAGCGGGTATGGATGGTGCCCCAGCGGGGGGCTACAGGATCTCCCATAGCTTCATGAGCCCTGTTGTCCTGAGGTTGTCCTGTGTCCCATGTGCCCACCTGGCTCAGTTCACCTGCAGGGAGCGATGTGCCCTAGAGCCCCTAGAGCTCCCATCGCTACCTGAGGTGCACGGGCCGCTGTCCCCACGCTGGGTGGACAACTTGTGGCTAGTCCCCCCAGCCCAGGATCTTTGGGAACACGGACCCCTGCTTCTCCACATGCCAGGGCCACCAGGACACGGGGCTGGGAGGCACGTCCGAGCACGCAGCTCCCCCAGAAGAGCACAGGTCCTGCAGGTTACCTGACGCTGGGGTGCTGAAATGCCGGACCTTCCTGAGAGCAGGCTCTGGGATCTGCCAGGTAAGCGACGGAGGTGTCCTGGGAGGGGAGGATGTAGGGGTACTCCGGTGGAGGTCCCCGCGGCTCCGTCCCCTCCGAGTGCTGGCCCCTGAGGGCAGAGAGCTGGTAGTGCCTGGAAAGCTGGGGGTAGCTGTGGGACGAGCTCATGTGGTTCTGCGCCTTGGCCCCGTTCCTCTCCAGAGACATCTGCATGAGGCGCTCGCTCAAGGACCTCACGTGGCCGTGCTTCAGGTCCTTCAGGGAGTCGTCCGGGCGCCGGGCACCGATCTCAGCCTTGCGCTGCCCGCTTTCAACAGGAGCGCCCTGGCCGTGCCCGCCGGGCTGCTGGCCGCCCCGCTGCGAGGCATAGTACTGCGAGTGAGCCTTGGCCTCCTCGTACGTGGGCAGCTCCTCGCCCTTGTGCTGGGGCTGATAAAGCCGATAGAGGCTGTTTTCCAAGTAGACATGGTCGGAGTGATGCTCCTGGCCCTGGGGCTCCTGCCGTGTGGACTGCTGCACCATTTGGCTTTCCTCTTGGGTAAGGCTTTCGAGGGACGAGCGGGGGCTGCCCGTGCCGCCTCCGCGCAGTGCTTGCTGCTGGATGGCCAGCAGCGTGCGGTTCTCCGTGAGGTTGCCGTATCGCAGCTGCTCCTGAATGAGGCGGTGCAGAACGGTCCCACTGGAATCCTCCGCCGTCCTCATCGCGGCCGCTCGCTCAGCGACCTCCGCTTCCGACGCAGAGAGGCGCCCAAAGCTCTAGCGACGACGGGGCGCGTGGGGGCACCTGTGTGGGGAGAGAGGGCACGTCAAGGAACCCGGACGGCAGGGAAGCGACACAGATGGGAAGCACCCAAAGCGTCTCCTCGCGCTCTCTCCCGGGCTTTGGTTTCCCAGGAATCCTGCTCACTTAGTGGGGGACAAGCAGCAGCCCAAAGCGCCCGCGGGGATGGCAGCAGAGGGCTGTGCCC